GGCAAAACTCTTTTAACCTTTGCCCTGCTTCATTTTGTACTCCAAGGCCAAGTTTGCCTATTACTGCAGGTTTCTCTTGAATTCCTTCTTGTGCATTCTAGTCCTCTCTGATGAAAAGGGCATGTTTTTCTTTGGCGTTAGTTCTAGAAGGTCTTGTACATCTTCATAGAACCATTCAAGTTCAACTTCTTCAGAATAGTGGTTGGGGCATAGACTTGGATTACTGTGGTATTGAATGGTTTGCCTTGGAAACAAAGAGAGATCATTCTGTCATTTCTGAGATTGCATCCAAGTACTGCATTTTGGACGCTTTTGTTGACCATGATGGCTACTCTATTTCTTCTAAGGGATTCCTGCCCACAGTAGGAGATATAATGATCATCTGAGTTAAATTCACCCATTCCAGTCCATTCTAGTTTGCTGATTCCTACAATGTCGACATTCACTCTTGCCATCTCCTGTTTGACCACTTACAGTTTACCATGATTCATGGACCTAACATTCCAGGTTCCTATGCAATATTGCCCTTTACAGTTGAACCTTGCCTCTATCACCAGTCACATCCACAACTGGGTGTTGTTTTTGCTTTGGCTCCATCCCTTCCTTCTTTCTGGAGTTATTTCTCTACTGATCTCCAGTAGTATATTGGGCACCTACCAACCTGGGGAGTTCATCTTTCAATGTCCTACCTTTTTGCCTTTTCATACTGTTCATGGGGTTCTCAAGACAAGAATACTGAATTGATGCATCGTATCTTTTATACATGAGTAATTCATATCTTTTCAGAATTTACTGAGGTTTGCTCTATTGCCTGACATAGAATCTAGCTTGGAGACTGTTCTGTGAGCACTCAGGAGGACCCTGCATCCTGCTCTTCTTGGGTGGAGTGTTTTATAATGTCTGTTAGGTCCGGTTGATGTACAGTGCTGTCCAACTCCTCCATTTCCTTGTTGAAGTTCTGCCTGGTTATTCTATCCATTGTAGAAAATGGTGTATTGATGTCCCAATATCATCCTTTCTTTTCCACCAGCTTTTGCTCTGTATATGTCAGTGCTCTTTTGTGAGGTGCACACATATTTATAATCACTAGTCTTTCTAATGGGTGGATTCCGTCATCATCATGAAATGTCCCTTTTTATTTTTTTCTATTGATTTCGTGTTAAAGTGTATTTTACCTAAAATTAGTAAAGCCACTATGGCTTTGTGATACAAGAAATATGCTATTTGCATGAAATATATTTTCCAGTCTTTTACTTTCCATCTATTTGTATTTTCGAATCTAGAACATGCCTTTTTAATAGCATTTAGTAGGGTAATGCACATAGACAGAATGAAAAAAATCTGCCTTTGAATGAATTGTTTAACCCATTCACATTTACTGTTATTATTGATATAGTTGGATTTACCTCTGGCATTTCACTTTTGTTTTCTGTGTGTCTCATATCTATTTATTTACTTGACTTTTTTGACCTCTAATCATCCTTCTTAAAAATTTATTTTTGGCTGCGCTGGGTCTTCATTGCTGCTCATGGGCTTTCTGTAGTTGCGGCGAGTGACCACCACAGTTCAAAAGCATCAATTTTTCGATGCTCAGCCTTCTTTATGGTACAACTCTCACATCCATTCATGACTACTGGAAAAAACCATAGCTGAATAGACAGACCTTTGTTGGCAAAGTAATGTCTCTGCTTTTTAATACACTGTCTCGGCTGGTCATAGCTTTTCTTCCAAGGAGCAAGCGTCTTTTAATTTCATAGCTGCAGTCACCATCTGCAATGATTTTGGAGCCCAAGAAAATAGTCTGTCACTGTTTCCATTGTTTCCCCATCTATTTGCCATGAAATGATGGGACTTGACTATGCCAAAGCCTTTGTGTGGATCACAACAAACTGCGGAAAATTCTGAAAGAGATAGGAATACCAGACCACCTGACCTGCCTCTTGAGAAACCTGTATGCAGGTCAAGAAGCAAAAGTCAGAACTGGACATGGAAAAACAGACTGGTTCCAAATAGGAAAAGGAGTACGTCAAGGCTGTATATTGTCACCCTGCTTATTTAACTTATATGCAGAGTACATCATGAGA